CAGAAAGAATATTTAAACACGGACAAACAGGAAGTAGCTCTCTCGGGGAAGCTAGGAGCACTGCAGGAGGTAAGATTTTATCTCTGAGCTCTGACCTCTTGGCTTTTCTCTTTTACCTTGGCTCTGTGTTTCTTATTTTAATAAGACGATTGGTTACATCTACAGTGATCTCATCAAAGGACTGGAGGAACTCAACGATCTTAGACTTGTGGGAAGGTTCAACTTGAGCAAAACAGTGGGCATTCAAGCAGGCTTCTCTCTAGGCCAAGGGGCTGAGCTCATCGAACTCCCGTCCTGTAAAAGCCTTTGACGTCACATCCTCATCCTGCCCAAAGATGCCAATGTGGTGACAGATGGCCACAACAGTTCCCTTGTTGTCCCCAGTGATCATAATGACATGGATGCCTGCTTGCCAGCACAGCTTCACAGAAGAGGCCACTTCAATCCTGTGAGGGTCCAGCATGCCCACACAGCCAGCGAAAGTCAGATTGGTCTCATGCTTGATGAAATTAGCTGAATCTTCCAGGTGCATCTCCTCTCTCCTCAGCGGGTTGTCGTGAGTGGCCAGAGCCAGGCACCACAGCATGTCACTCCCACTGCCCCACTCCCGAATGACAGACATAATCTTCTGTTTGACACCAGGAGTCATGGGGACCTTGGCACTTCCCACTCGGATGTGGGTACACCTGTCGATGACACCTTCAGGAGCATCCTTCACAAACATGTCTGGCTTGGTTTGTTTGGTGTACAATAGACAGACCTTGATTTTCTGTCACGTGAAAACTCAAGAGTAAATTCCTTCATCAGCTGTTATATGACTGAGTTGCAGGCATTTGCACGTTCTATTTTAGACAGTCCCTTCAGTTCGGTATCAAATACATTCATCTTCTCATTAAGGAAACAGGTATCACCTTCGACTTTGTCCAGTCTCTTCTGAGACTCAAAGCGATCTCTTCACTGAGCCTCCTGTAAAGTCAAAAGGCAAGCCACCAACTTCCAACATACAAGATCACAGAATATGGATGACTATCACTGTGATTTCTTTTCTACGAGCCAAATAGAGGCCTTTGAAAGTAGGAATCAAAGAGGAGTTTGAGTTTGGGCTGTTTGGGCATGGTGACTTGATTTTCCAAAATGAGTTTTTACTTCCCGGACAAAGTTTAAAGTTGAAGAATTAAAATTAAAACAAGAACATTTGAGCCAGGTAATGGTGGCACAGGCCCTTAATTGCAGCACTTGGGAGGCAGAGACAAACAGGTCTCTGAGTTTGAAGCCAGCCTGGTCCACAAAGCAAGTTCCAGGACAGCCAGGACTACACAGAGAAACCCTGTATAAACCAAACAAACAAACAAACAAGACTATCTGAGCTGGTCGGACTGATAAGGCAACAAGCCCTTCTGAGTTCTTGGAATTACTAGGTTGAAGGTCTGTAGCGTGACAGCACCGGTTGAATAGACACAAAAACACACCTAATATGTCCAGTACAAACACTCTTCTAAGAGGAAGAACACCTGACTTTCCAATACATGAAGCAGGGGAAACAGGACCAGAGGAAGAAATCAGGAGGGAATGGGGGAGAGAGGAAAAATGGATAAGAGGACAAAATGACACAAGCATGCGCATTGTCAGAATAAATGAGCAGCTGGACTGGATTGGCAAGATGTTTACGGGAACTTTTTAAATGCAGCACAAAGACTTTTGACTTTATAAAGAAAGAGACAACTTATAGGGGGGCACAACGGAAACTCCAGGACACAGAGACAGCCAGCATCTGGACCACATACACAGCAGACAGTCTCTAAGCAGAAAGCTGACGCTGCATCCAAACGCCGAGTTAGCCTGCCTCAAGAGAAAGCGCTGTTCTTCACAAGGATATAACATCGTTAAACTTTAAGTGCCTAAAACCGCACAAAGCAGAGATGGCCAAGAAACCAGACACACTGCACAAAAGGCATTATCACCACGAGGGGTTTAAACCACATTTTCATTAATACACAGATCAAACCAGCCAAAAGGCAGTGGGGATAGGGCAGATTTGAGCGACAAAATTAACAGTCGGGAGCTAATGAGCACTTACCGAATGTTGCACCCACTTAGATGAGACATTCTTCTTAAGCATTGCTGACTTCAGTGAATTTCAAATGGTGGACAGTGACCACAATTCAATTAAGTAAGAAACTGATGACAGAAAGAAAATGAGAAAAGCGCTATATGTTTGGAAATAAAGCCTCACCCTCTCTGAAGAAGTCACGAACAAAAGAAGAAGTCATAATGGATGCACAAAGATACAGAACTGAGGGGTGATGAGAACACTACTGATCATAGTTAGTGGACAGCAGCGAAAATGCTACAAAGTGGAAGGTCAGCCTCAAGTGCCGACTCAGTGAAGTTGAGAGTGCTCATACCCCCCCAAAGATGGCTATTCTCTCTCCAGGCCGGAAATCTCTAAGATCTCAGAGGCAGGGCCTAGGGAATGTCTCATTGGTTAAAAGCATGTACTGCTCTTGCAGAGGACCGGAGTTCAATTCCCTGTAATCCATGCTCGACAGTTCACAACCGCCTGTAACTCCAGCTCCAGGAGCTTGCCCTCTTCTGGCCTCCACAGACATTGCACTCATGTGTCCATATACACATAGAGACACACACAAAGATGCACAATTAAAAATAAAAAATAAATCTCTTTTTTAAAGATCTCAGAGGCAAGGTCTCATCAGAGAATGTGGGGGAGGTAAATGATGATAGAATATTTAACAACATGCATAGCATAACTTATTAATATGTAAATCAAAACCAAAGTTCCCTCTCATTGTCTAGTTAAAAATAAACTGCACTGGTGCTTACCAGTGCAATGTGAATAACAGAGCAAACTTCTCTTTAACTCAATCCCATAATTGCTAATTTAAAAATATTGATTGCCATGAGATTCATATAACATGCAAATTCCTGTCTGCTGCAGTTTGATTTTGAACCCCAGAAGCCCATGCATTGAAGGCTTGGTCTCCAGAGTAGAACTTCTGGGGGGCAGTGGAAGCCTTAAGATGTGGGGTCTGGGTGATTTCCTTGGTTATTAAAGGTGGTCCCTTGAAGGAGACTGTGGAACCCAGTTGGCTCTTTCTCTCTCTCTTTCTCTTTCACACTCTCTCTTTCCCTCTCCCTCTCTTGCTCTCTCCCTCCCCATTATCTTTCTCACCACCTCCTCTCTCTTCCTGACCATGACAGGAGTACTTTTCTTTCAAGCACCCATCGGGATGTGCTGCCTTCACTCTGCCCTGAAACACTGAGGCCCGTTACTTGTGGAACACACCCCCCCTAACAGTTTACAACATACCCTCTTCTTGGATTAAATGTCAAGGCACTTCATCACAGTGGTTGGAGTTGACTGAAACTATCTCGGCCATGTGTGAGCTTATTGTAATACAGTGATGTGAGTGTGTTTGTACTATTGTGTACCAGCCACCCCGTCCAGCGCCAGCGTTCTCCATTGCCATTGAACACTACTTATTCTCATCTCTCATCTCTACCTAGCTTGGGGAAACTGTCCTTCTGCCTTCTGTTTCTATTAATTTGACTATACTTATTTTCTCATATGAATGAAACAATACTATATATCTGTGGGGGTCCACAGAGGCTCTCTAATAAGGCCTTACTCAAGGTCAGAAAGTCTGAACTTGCTTTACCCAACAGGGCTGAATAATGGGGTGATTTGGCCAAAGGCATGGTTACCAGGTGTTTTGAAGGGTCTACACTTGGTTGTATGTGTGCTTTGATCTTTGAAGGGGGAGGTCTTTTGCCTCTCCCCTTGTTAGTGTATAAAAAGCCCATTAGAAATAAACTCAGGGCATCTGTGGTATTGACCCAGGGCTCTCCCGAAGCTATCCTGTGTCTCTGTCTTTTTCTTCATCTAAATCTATATTTCTTTCTATTATTTCTCAACTCCTCACTCTTCCATTCAATGGACCCTTCTATAGGTTGGGGATAAACTCCAACACTGAACCCGGACATTTATCTCCTTCAGTGACTGGCTTATTTCACTTGGCTTAATGTCCTCAAGGTGTGTTCATGTATTAGAGTTCCTTCTTTCAATGCTAAATAATATTCCATTGTATAAGTATTCCACACTCTGCTTATCCACTCACCTGTTGATAGCACTTGGGTTTCTGCCACCATTGACTATCACAACTAGCACTTCTATGAATGGAGGTATAAAAACATCTCTTTTACAACTTGCTTAAGATTCTTTGGGGGCAACTCTCTCTTCCCCTCCAGTTCCAGTCACCTAGTCTTATCCCCAGCTTTGTGATAGAACAGTTGCTACGGCCTCCCATTGCTCTTGACCCTCATACCCAGCAGATCACACATATCTTCTCTTACAGCCTTCTTCCACAACACCCTCCCAAAATTCCCCATGACACATGATAATCAAAATACTAAATGTGCAAAGCAAAGAAAGAATATTAAAAAGCAATACAGGATAAAGAAAAAATACCATATAAAGGCAGATCTACTAGAATAACACCAAACTTCAACAGAGACTCAAAAATCTAGAAGGGCCTGGCTGGATGTTCTACAAATCTTAGAGAATCAGAGATGCCAGCCCAACCTATTAAAACCAACAAAACTTTCTATCACAATAGATGGAGAAAAACCATGATAAAACCAAATTTAAGCAGTATCTGTCTACAAATCCAGCACTACAGAAGGCACTAGCAGGCAACCTTTAACCTGAAGAAATCAACCTCACCCAAAAGAACACAAGGAATGAATAATCTCAGACCAGGAAATCAAGAGGGGGGTAAAAAACCATACCCAAACAACAAAATAATGGGAATCAACAACACTTAACTCATTGATTACTCTCAACATCAATGGTCTCAATAAAAAGATCCAGACTAACAGATTGGATTTGAAAACAGGGTTCATTCTTCTGCTGCATCCAAAAAAACACACCTTAACATCAAGGATAGACATCACCTCAGGATAAAAGGGCATAAAAAATATTCCAAGCAAATGGACCCAACAACCAAGCCAGTGCAGTCATTTTAATATATGATAAAAATAGACATCAAACCAAAACTAATCTGAAGAGATAGGAAAGGACACTACATACTCATCAAAGGAAAACTCCACCAGGAGGCTATTGCAATTATAAATATCTATGCACCAAATACAAGGGCACCAAAGTTCATAAAAGAAACACTACTATAGCTAAAATTACATATTCACCCTCACAAAGCAGTAGTAGATGACTTCAACACCTCTCTCTTACCAATGGACAGGTCATCCTGATAAAAACTAAACAGAGAAATGCTGGAGCTAATTGACATCATAAACCAAACAGGCCTAACGGACATTTACAGAATATTTCACCCAAACACAAAAGAATATATCTTCTTCTCAGCACCTCATGGAACTTTCTCCAAAACTGACCACATACTGGGACACAAATCAAGTCTCAACAGATGCAATATACAGATACAATAAAATTGAAAAAACTCCCTATATTCTATCTGACCACTGCAGATTAAAGCTGGATATCAATAACAGGAAGCTTATGAACTCACAGAAACTGAACAACTCACTACTAAATGAAAAATGAGTCAAGAAAGAAATTAAAAACTTTTTAAAATTGAATAAAAATATAACACATCCAAACTTATGAGACACAATGAAGGCAGTTCCAAGAGGCAAGTTCATAGCACTAAGTGCCTACGTCTAATAAACATGGAAAAATCTCATATTAGTAATTTAACAGCACATATGAAAATTCTAAAACACAAAGAAGCATAGTCGGATGTTTCTCAGGTCCCACCAAGCCCCCACAGTTCTATGGTCCCCTTATAGAATAATCACTCTGAAGCTTATATTAATTATAACTGCTCAGCCATTAGCTCAGGCTTATTACTGACTAGCTCTTACACTTAAATTAACCCATA